CTTGGATGGTTCAGGAAACATTTTTTCAAAATACTATTTTAAAAAGCCACTAAAAGCAAAGAAAAGTGTTTAAGAAAAGTAACTTATTAAATGTATTAGTTGAACATTTTAATGTATAAATTATATTTCTACTTTGAAATACTATAATGTCATTGCAGGAAAAAAGTGTCAAGGACCTATAAATGGCAGCAAAACTAAGTATAACTGTCATTGACTTGTACAGCATTGACTTGTACAAAGCTGATAAAGCTATCACAGGCAATGACTCACTTCCATGTTATGAAATTGTAATATTATTTGGTTTAGATATATTGTTCATGGCAAATCAAGGTGACCAAGAATAATAAACGCTATATTGTTAAATGATTGCCACTAGTTGTAACCTGTAGGTTCACATGCAAAATAGGCACCTGGTTGTTGAGATGCAAACACCAGCCTGTCACACTGTAACATACCAACCTCTAGGTTCCTACAAGGGCTGGGCAGTATTTGAATTACTTGTAATTGAAATATAAATATGTAATGTGTGTCAAGACCATTGCAAGTGGAAGGCTGTTGTCTCTGCCTACCCTGATTGGAAAAGGCCATGACATCTGCTAAATTTGAAAACACAACCACAAACGGCTTAAAATTTCGCTTACACCACGCTCTTCCCAATTCCTATGTTTTTGGACAAAATGTATTTTGATATTCTTCAGGTGCAATAGTGGGCAATCATCAAGCTTAAAATATAATTTGTTGACTCTTTTTTAGTTATAAAATCAAAAAAAAATTATTTCTAGTAATTCTGTTTTTTGTGCCTACTCAAATGTTCACATTAATAGAGGTTACGAGGCTTACGTATTTGGCTGACTATGAAGTATTTGTATGTATGTATTATTGATGATAAAGTATATCGTCGTCTTAGTAGAAGATAATAATGTGGCGTAAATGTATTAAACATGATAATGTTTGTAGTTAACATTTTAATTAGTTAAATTATACCTCTTTCAGACTCTATAATATTACTTTATTAATATATTTGAAGAGGAAAAACTTCTTCAATTGTCAGGAATTTTCGTCAACAAAAATCAGTAAAAACTATGTGAAATCACATAGTTTTTCATTCTAAGGTGACATTTTTTTTAAGACTAAGTGGGGAAAATCTGTATGGCAAAAGTATTAAGAATTAAGTATTGTATCTATGTGTTGTGGCGTTGCAATAAATGTCTATTCTATTCTTTTCTATTCTAAGACCGTGCTATATCGGTACTTTCGTGAGTACATTCATTTATATCCGATACTACTCACAAGTGCTGTATCGTCACTTTTGGTTTCATACCTTGTCTCTAAATTAAACAATTTTCATATATTTTGGCGTGTGAGGTCCAAGCTCCTTGTGAAAGAGATCGTCCAGGTACTGCCACCATACTCATCTGTGCCTTGAAGCATAACACGAACATTATTGCATTTTGGTTGTAAAAAGTCAGGATATTAGTGAAACTACAGGTGCATAGAATATGTCAGTTTATGTTAGTCAAATAAGTGTAGTGGCAGTGTCACATCTTTGTGATCTAAAGCTCTGTGTGGCACTGCAACTGAAATGGTTAGGCGTTTATTTGTGGTTGTTTATCCTGTTTTGATGTCATAAAAAGTATACTTATAAAAAAATATATATGTTCAACTACCATACTTCATTTTAGTTATTTTTTTATATTTGTTTAATAAAATTTCTAACTGAAACTGTTAGTTCGAAACAACACTGAAAAATAATTACATCTTATGGACAAGGTTACAGCAAATCCAGTTTGCACCTCAAGATTGGATTCAACTCTGTTCAAACAGCATAAAGCTGATTATGCAGTTGACTGTGAATGAAAATAATCAGCAAAAAATGTTTTAGAAGTATGATAAATTACTTATTATTACTGTTGCAACTAATAGTATAATATATTCGGCCTCTGACCGAACATTCGATCTGGAGCGTGGCCGAATAGCCGAATATTCGGCCAATGTATTCGGCTTGATTAACGCAAGTACGAAAATTAGCACGAAAAATACCACTTATTAACATTATAACTAATTTTGTAATGAAACAAAAAAGTTACTTTAACTTTCAAGTGTATTATTTTAATTTATGACATAATAAAGTAAGTAATTATTTATTTCACTTCAGTTGGATTAACTTTCAAATACTTAATTTTATTTTGCTTTGGAAATAAGAAAAATAACTTTGTTTTATGTTACTTTTCCTTTGATCTTTTAGATATTTAAATTTAGGCTGCATCCATGGCCGAACGGTTACCACCTTGGTCTGCTACGCAGAGGTTCCAGGTTCGATTCCAGCGCCGGGAGAAATATTTGTATGACCTACATTTTTTCCCCTCGTGAGTTTTGTTGTAATTTGTGGTAGTCTATATGTGCGTCCACGACACCCGCGATACAGGATTTCCTGGGCTATGAGTGTGTATGAAGCGACAAATTGCGCTTTCACGAACTTACAAAGCATGTCCATTAATAAGTAACATGTTTATTAGTGTTGTAATTTATTGTTTTTTCTCGTTTTTTTTGAATAACAAGAAACGAGCCGAATAAGTCGAACATGGAGTAGTAACCGAATATTAATTGCAACTCTACTTATAATCTTTGAATAAAAAACAAATAGCACTTGTAATCTTGTGATAAAACAGTAAAAAATTATCAAAAGCAACAAAGAAATACACAAGTAAATTGATAGATAAATGACATAAATATTCTTTACCTTTCATAATTTCAATTTCTAAATTGTTTTTGCACGGCCATGATCTCACCAGATGTGTGGCGGTACGTGTTTGTCTAAAAACTGCCCGTTCACTTTTTTTATAATACTAAGTGACGGTACGAACAAGTCTGTCCATGACAGTTGCAGTGCCACTCAGAGGTTTAAATCGCCAGGAACTGAGAGACACTGCCACAGCGCCCGTCACCCCGAGACATAGTTGATAAGGCCCTTGTGCCTGTAATTTCACCAGCATCCCTATTCTTCAAAACCGGAACACAGTGATGCTCACATTACTACCTGCTATGCGGCAGAAATAGGTTTCTTTTTCTCTTTTTTTATAACATCAAGTGACGGGACGAACAAGTCATGCGCCTGATGGTAAGCTACACGCCTGTCCCTAACAGTTGCAGTACCACTCCAGAGTATTAAATCGCAAAGATGTGCTACTACACTACCACTGCGCCCGTCACCCTGAGACATAAGTTGACAAGTCCCATGTGCATGTAATATACATTAATAATAATAATAAATCATTTATTTGGACATCTATGGCCCACTTGTTAGTAATACAAAAAGATACAGAACATTTAAACTTAAAGCTATTGTTAGTAGGTACAATTTACGGGACAATACATTGACAAACACAAGAAACACGTATATGCAACTTACCGCTCGAGGCGCCGATAACCTCATTCATGATCTCACCAGAACCTGGATAAAATGTAGAAGCATCGGCGCATCAAGCTTAGCCGCAAACATTTTCAGAATGCTGTTAGGACTAGAACGCAGCCTCGAGAGTAGTGACGCCTTTTTGTTTCGCATCACAGCAAAAAAGTCATCTACTCCCGCTAGAGCAAACATCGAGGATGCGCTACAATGCCGTGGTAGTCCCATCAGCGTTCTGAAACCGTTATTATATTGAACACGCATTAATGCTGACATTACTGCTTGGCGGCAGAAATAGGTAAGGTGGCAGTACTGCCCTGGACGAACTCTTTCACAAGGAGCTATTGAAGTGTGAGTGGGCTGGCCATTTCGCCCGCAAGAAAGGCTCTTGGTGCAAGATAATGGTAGAATGGAGACTGTGTGGCGAAAACGCCTAAAAGGAAGACCGCTGGCGGTAACAAAGTGATTAAAAATTGCTCAAGACCGAAAAAGATGGCATAAACTGAAGGAGGCCCACACCTTAGTTAGAGTGTACCTAATCGTCTACCTTAACACACGCGCGCGATTTTAAGCAGCTGTGCAAGCGCGCGACTGCATCGATACACTTGGGATTTATAGGCGATTGCAAACGATCGAAAGCAAAAGCACGTTTCACGAATTTTTGCATCGCTGCTAAAAATGTAAACAGATAAAATGGGAACATTATATTTCAAATCAGTGATATATTTGACCAACCAAAATTCTACAAATTGACGACAAAGAACCTAAAAATGTGTAGATTTGTGAACTTATATAAATATCACTATGTAATTAGGCAGGCATATAAATACCACTGTGTCTGCCACAAAGGCAAAGAATGAGAAGCATAGCTAACGTGACCATTATTTTTTCCCTCCGAATGGAACGCCTGTAAATTAATTATTGTTTTAAAAATAAAAGTCATGTTTATGACAGTTACGAAATGTTTAAAGATAAAAAGAAATAAAAACAACTAAAATTCTTTACTGTATTAAAAATTTAAAAAAGCAATATCATTGTGTCGTCTGGTGCTCGACGTCTGATTGGCTGGCTCTATGTATTTTTCACTTTAGCTCCATTTTTAACAATCTATTGTTACGTATGTTCTGGTTTGTGCAAGGGTGACAGCGGGACACGAAGCCTAAAAGCGGGACTGTCCCGCTCAAAGCGGACAGAAACCAATACTGTCAAAACAGAACCAGAATCTTTGAAAATTTCCAATCCAATTACGCAGGAGCAGTATAATAAAAACTTTTGGTATATAGTGTCAGTGTTGGTTGTAATCCTAGCAACTGAACTTATTGATAATACTTTTCCTGACGACATCGACATTTTTGTCATACAACATCAGTTATGTCTAATATTAATGCAAACCACCTTATTTGAACTTAATCTATATAATAATTTTCTTCACTACGTTGTAAACATTCTGCACCTAATGACATTTAAAACAACTTACCTTTTCATATTATTAAATTCGCACAATGCCAAGCTAGAAGCTTGAATAGCATTGTATTAAGTTCGAACAGATGCTCATTGTTTCAAAATACGTG